AATACTGTAGAATCAACCCCATTAGGCTTCAGGTTTGGAGCTGCAGATGGCTCAGCAGTTTAGAGCATTCTGCACTTCCAGATGACCCAGGTTCTGTTCTCAGCACCCACATGGTGGCATACAAGCAGGGGATCCAACCTCAGTGGGCATGGTATCTCAGCCAGGCATAGTATCGCATGCCTTTAATCCCCATAAAGAAAGAGGCAGGCAGATCTTCGTGAGTTTGAGGCTGGTCTGGTCTACATAGTGAGTTCCAGGCCAACGAAAGAGTATACAATGAGACCTTGTCTTAAATGAAAAAAGAAAAAAGGAAGGAAGGAAGGAGGGAGGGAGGGAAGGAAACAGGAGGAGAGGGAGGAGAGGGAGAGGGGGGAAGAGGGAGAGGGGGAGGGGGAGAGGGAGGGGGGAAGGGAGGGGGGAAGGGAGAGAGCGCCCTTCTCTTTTCTGTTTTTAGTGCTGAGTCCAGAGTCTTGCACATGGTAAGCAAGTACTCCGCCACTGAGCCATATCCCAACCAAACCAACCTTTATTATATTTTATCTATATTATAAACACAATCTTTTACATTGGAGTGGTTTAAAGGAGAATAAAGGTAGACTGAATTATAGTATGTAGTTTTGGGCTTAAAAATGTTTCGGTTTACTATTTCCATTGTATGCTTTAGTTTCAGTAAATTAAATGAAGTATTATTGCCTCAGTTCAGTCTGTTAGCTAATAACTTCTCAGCAAGGGGAACTTGCTCAACACTCAGCATGATCAGTCCTACACAGAAATGTGGCGATGAGGGAAATGACCCTGCAGGTGAGCTGGGAAGAATAACAAAACAAATTTTCTTGCCTCTACTATATATGCAGAAGGGTATATGTAGTTTCATACACACAGGGACCTGCACACACAGTGAAACATATATAGACCACCCCTGAAGAAAGAAGAAAAACCAAAAAGAGCAATTGTATCTAGTTCCAAAGACAGCAGTTTTCATAATAGCAAAATTTCAGCTGTAAGGTTTTATTATCACAGATCTATGAACAGACCAAGCAGACACACTTGCACCACACACAGTGTAACACAAACAAGCTCTGCTCATTCCTTATCTTGGGCAACCAGACTCAGAGCAGGGAGCCTATGCCACCTGACTAGCTGGTACAGAGTAAAATGCTTGGTGCTCTGTAAAGGTTACACCAGTGAAGACATAAATGTTCTAAGTCTAGGGTCTGGGCTTAGATAAAAGGGCTTGGACACGTGTCCCCCAAAAGGTCCATGTGTAAAAGGCATGGTCCCTTAGGCTGGTACTCCTAGACATTGACAGAACCTATAGGATCTGGCCTAGTGGGAGTGCTTATCCTTGAAACATACTGTGGGACCCCTTTCTTTTCTGCGTCCTGGCTCATTTGGTTTCCTTGTTTATGTGCTCCAGCTTTGATTGGCTATTTCATTAGAAGCTCAAAGCACTTGGATTCAGAGTTGATCCTCCAGAACCTTGGGCCAAAATGAATTCTTTACAAATAATCTCAGGTACTCTGTTGCATGATGACACTGATCTACTAGGAAATAGATGAAGGACTTTGAAATGTATGGATCCTGCTGAGAAGCATACTTCTCTTTTGTTAAGAGTCGATCTATCACTGTGAACCCTAAGCATAACTAATTAAGAGAGGACCCAAGTCCAACAGTATCCTTTTAGTGAGACAGCCTTCTACTGTGGCCTGGCAGGCACAGTAAGCTAACTTGATGTGAAGAGCTTCCCCAGCTCACACCAGTTGGTTCTGCTTGCTCTCTGGACCTGGATTACAACCATCTTCCTCATTTAGCTGCTCCTACTTATCTTCAAGATTCAGGTAAAGTTTCATCTTAGCAGCTTTTCCCAATCATCTTTTTATTACTGTAATTTTGTATTCAAATTTTGTTTCCTTCAGTGAAATGAGTGCACCAAAGACAGACAACATATCTTGATCATCTTTGCTACCTTTAAGACCAAACACACTCCATGATTCTTGGTAAAATAGCAGCCTAGTTAGTTTTTGTTCCTTGAAACAAGGTCTCATTCTGTATAGGCTAGGATGGCCTTGAATTTGCAGTGATTTTCCTTCCCCGGACTCCTGAATGCTAGGAGGAATGGAATTTTAAGTGTGAGTCACTACACTGTGATCTCTTTTGTGGTAATATTTTGCTTGCGCTCTAACAGCTTGCCTGGAGATCAGAGTGGGGAGCTAGCCACTAGTTAAGCATAGAGTCCAGAGAGTAGTGGCACACGTTTTGATCCCAGGACTTGGGAGGCACATGCCTTTAATCCCAGCACTAGGAAAGAGGAATATAAGGCAGGTGGAGACACAAGCTTGCCCCCTTTTTGGTCTAAGAGTTACAGAGGTAAGAGCTCTAGTGTCTGGCTGCTCTGCTTCTCTGATCTTTCAGCTTTCACCCCCTAACATCTTACTCCAGGTTTTTATTAACCAATTAGAATTTGAGCTATATTCTTCCTTTTCTCTGGAGGGACTCTGTGGAGCTGGAGAGACGGCACAGCAGTTGAGGACTTGATATTCTTCCAGGAGACCTGAGTTTGGTTACCAGCACCCATGTCCTCCAGCACACAACAGCTCCAAGAGACTGGAATCTTCTTGGGCCTCTACGGGCACCTGCACACACATGACATACTGTCTTAGTTAAGGTTACTATTGCTGTGACGAAATGTCAAGCAACTTGGGGAGGAAAATGCTTCACATCAGTGCTCATCAGCACAGGAAGCCAGGACAGAAATTCAAACAGGGCAGGAACCTGGAGGCAGGAGTTGAAGCAGAGGTCATGGAGGGCGGAGAGCGCTGCTCACTGGCTTGTCGTCATGGCCTGCTCAGCCTGATTTCTTATTGAACCCAGGACCACCAGCCGAGGGATGGCACCACCCACATTGGACTGGGCCCTCCCCAATCAATCACTAATTAAGAAAATACCCTACAGTGAATCTTATGAAAGCATTTTCTCAATTGGGGCTCCCTCCTCTCAAGATGACTGTAGCCTGTGTAAAGTAGACATAAAACTATCCAGCACACATACACATTCACACACACAAACTGAAAAGCAATTTAAGAAGAGGGGAAGATCTGTAAAGACAATTGGTTATTTCGGGGTCTTCTTTTCAGATGTGACATTCCACCATTACAAGTTTATCACAAATCACACTTTATAGGATTGGTAATAATGAAGATCAGGTAAAGTGCCAAAATCCACAACATGCCACGCTGGTAATAGAGGCAAAAAAAAAAAAAAAAAAAAAAGTTGAACACAGAATACCTATCTCAAAGGTAAGAAAATGGGAAACGTGTATTTCTTTTCCCCTGAGTTTCTGTATTATAACAGAATCCATTGTTAACCTGATTTTGAAAATATGACCTGGGATTTTACTACATTTGGTCAATGTCAACGTCACTTGAAATAGGCGCTTAGAAGATTTTCCGTTTTCATAATTGAAAATTACTGAAGCATCACTGTATACTTGAGTTAGTTTCTTCACATAGGATTAACTAACTATGAAAGTTAAGGACCGAATCCTGGTCAGAGAACTACTTTTGAAAGTTTAGAAGAATAGTCAATTCGTGCTTTTTTTTTTTCTGTGCTCCAGATTAGTTGCATAAAGTAAATCCTCTCAGCCAATTCACTTAAGGAACGACAACCACTTGAGTGTTCTCCTAGTTAGTGTCTGGTATCGCTCATCCTTAATTCATTCGGCCGGAGATTAGTTTCTTGGTCATTGCTTAGACTATGTATTCCCAGCAACCGTCCCGTGAGACCATAGCTGTCACACACGGAGCTTAGCGCAGTCTCTCCATCTGCACACAGAGAAAAACGGCTTAGGCCCTGGTATCACGAAATCTGCCAGGACTGCCGGCCAGTATCACCCTACCCGGGCCACTGCAGCCTCGGGGGCGTGCGTCCTGAACTCGGGGCTCCCGAACACGCAGCGAGAGAGACCGGCTGCGGGCCTGGCTGCCAGAACGGAAGCAATCAACAAGTGTCTCTCTCCTCTCGCCAGGGCCACCACCTCCCTCGCGCAGAGGCCAGGACCGCGCATCTCAATCCCCCGCTCCCTGCTCGGACAGTCCTGAGCCGCCGAAGCGGGCCTTCCCTCCACCGTCCGCCGAAGCCTAACCCTCACCCGGGGCCGCCTCCCCGCCCCGACGGCCCGGCCCCTCGCTGCCCGCCCCCCCGCGGTTACCATGCTGGCGGGCGGCCCAGTCGAGGGGCTCCCCGCGCCCGGCTCCCGGAGGGGTGGCGACCGCCCGGTGTCTACTCCTGCCCGTCTGCTGCAGCGGGGCTTAGCAGAGTTCTCGGTCGGAGAAGCGCACCAGGCAGCGGCAGTAACTGCGGGCCCGGCGTACGGCAGCCATCTTCGCGGGACAGGGGGCCGGGGGCGGGCGCGCTGCGGCGGCCGGGGACACGAGCTGCGGAGGGGTCGCCGCTCGCCAGCGGAGGCCGAGCACCGAGCGAGGACCGGAGCGTCGGCCCGACGGGAGCTATCTGGACGCAGCGGCGGAGCTGCCTGCTCGGCTGCCGAAACTGCGCCGCCGCGCCGCGCATGCGCGTGTGCGCCGCCGCCGCCGCCGCTGCCACCGGCTTGGCTCGCAGCCGCCCGTCGCCGGCAAGGGTGGTGGGCCTACTGTGTGCAGCCCTTTGCGTAAGCCAGGTTGCCCGGACTCACTCAACCCGTCTGTTCGGTCCTGGAGACGCTAGCTCGAAATGTTTAAACCTGAATTTGGAGTAGAGCCCCCGAGTCGATCTCAATTGGACGCTAGGGAGCAGGACTTTAGGCGCCCCGGGGCACTGGGTGCCCGGCCAGAAGGCGAAGAGTAATGACAGTCATTGCACCCCACAGACTCTGAACCGAAGAAAACATACGCTCATGTGTGCAGCCGGAGAGTGGTAACAGCCAACGCAAGGCACGTCGAACTACAGATCCCACAATAGAACGGGGAAGGACGTGCCTTTCCTAGGCCTGAAACCCGACTCCTGCCGGCGACGGCGCAACGAGGCACGCTGGGATTTGTAGTTGGCTGTTCCTTGTTGAGCCGGAACTTCCACCCACCCACCCCCCAACCCGGTGCCACTTCTTAAAGCCCAAACATCCGATTCCACGTCAATAGAAGGCACTAGGATTGCACGTTTTATAACTTTTTCACCTACAGACATATGCTAGCAAAACTCACAGGCTTCGTAGTCTTTGATAGACATTTAGACAACATTTATTGAATTTCTATAAGTGTCAGGACCTAACCACCAGGACGCTACATTCACCCGACTTCACAGAATTTAAATTTTTATTGTGCTACTTCATTCTGGAGCTTATAAATGAAGTACGTCTTCGGCTAAGAAATGGAGGTAAAAGGGAAGGGGCGTAACTGGATTACAGTAAAAAATTGCAAATCCTATGTATGTTGTTTATTTAGTTAGTTTGTCGTCCACAGATAGAATATTGCCTGGTCTTTTTGGCTTGATTTTGTAAAAATAATGATAATTGCCGTGGGTAGCCGGACGGTGGTGGCGCACGTCTTTAATCCCAGCACTTGGGAGGCAAAGGCAGGCGGATCTCTGTGAGTTCGAGGCCAGCCTGGTCTACAAAGCTACAAAGAGAAACCTTGTCTCGAAAAATCAATCAATCAGCCAGTCAGTCAGACAGTCATTGCAGTGTGTTAATGACTACAGCTGTCATGTGTCCAGAAAACAGCATTTGAGAGCACTCCTCCCCACGCAGGTTCTTACATTATCTCCACCCGTGTTCTTTAATGTTCTCCCGGCTGGGGCCTGGGGAGTGGATATAGATGTCCCATTTAGGGCTGAGCACGGTCACTTATTCTTGCCAAGGTTTGGTTTTGGTTTTTGGTTTATCAAGACAGGGTTTCTCTGTGGTGTAGCGCTGACTGTCCTGTAACTCGCCCTGTAGACCAGGCTAGCCTCGAACTCAGAGACCCAGCTGCGACACCATTTTGTAAATAATGGAATCCACCTCTAGATGGAGACTGTCCTTGTTTCCTCCTTTAAGAACTAATCTAGTGGGATAGGTCAGGAATTTGGCTAGAGGAACACCCCAAGGAAGATGGGTTCATAAGATAATGTCATTTTCCTTCCCAGAATTCCCATCTCCAGTGCATTCTCTAGAAGCCAGGATGAAGTGTTCACCAGAGTCTGTCTGTTCAGGTTTGCCTGAACAATTTTTCTTTCTTCCTCCCTCCCTCCCTTCCCTCCCCACCCCCTCCCTCCCTTTTTCTTCTCTCTCTCTCTCTCTCTCTCTCTCTCTCTCTCTCTCTCTCTCTCTCTCTCTCTCTCTCTCTCCCTCCCTCCCTCCCTCCCTCCCTCTCTCCCTCCCTCTGTCTCTCTCTGTCTCTCTCTGTCTGTCTTTTTCTTTAAGATTCTAGCCAGAGCCCAAGTATTCTTTGAAACTCCCTAACTAACCCGTTGCTCTAAGCTTCCTTGTCCAGAGTTACACTTCCTGTCATGTGACTGCAGGTACCTTGTCTGCTCTGTTCCCTTCCTCCTCGTGTTTCAGGGTTTACAGTTTGCCAGCCCTAGAGTTTTTCTTGTTCTTGAGCTTCTGTTTGCGTCCAATTTTAAATTATTTTATTAATGAGACTAAGAACCCCGGGGTGTGTGTGGGAACCTTGATTTCCTCAGCAGGTACTACCTAATTAAAATCCCTGCCTTTTAATTCCTTTTGGGGGGGAGAAGGGACAGAATTTCTTTGTGTAACAGCCCTGGCTATTCTGGAACTCACCCTGTAGACCAGGCTGGCTTTGAACTCACAGAGATCTGCCTGCCTCTACCTCTGGAGTGCTAGGATTAAAGGCATGTGCCACCACACAGGCTTAATTCTTTTTTTTTTTTAGGATTTATTTACTTTTATTTATGTTTCTGTGTGTGTGCACCTGTGTAAGTGTATATGCACCATGTCTGAGGAACAGGTGATTTGTGAGCCATTTCATATCGACTCTGGAAACTTAAATTCAGGCCTCTACAAGAGCAATAAATGCTCTTAATGGTCAACCCATCTTTCCAGCTCCCTGCTTCTTAATTCTTTAATCAGCAAAGAAAAGGAAGCTGTCCCTCCAACCCAGACAGCATCCCTGTGACCAGTCATAAGTCTCTGCATTAGTGGCTGCCCACGGCAGAAGAAGCCCCTCTGACAAAGCAAGGTTGGTAGCAGCAGTAATCTCTGTGTATAAACAAATGCTTAAAAGGCATTTTAACAATATAGCCATTTAGTAAAACAACAGTCATGGGTTTCCTCTGTAGACCTAATACCTCCTGAACTGTGGACTTTTGACAAGGTTTACTGTAGCAGACATAAATTCCTACCTGTGGAGCAGGTCTCAGAGCCAATCAGAAAGTAGTTGGTTTTACCTATTACCTCCATGCCACTATTGCACCAGAGGACACATCTTGCCTAAATCCTGTGTTTTAAAATAACTCTTTTCTATGAATGTTTTTATTTGTACACTAAGTTAGCTACCTATAAAAACTACCTTTATATTCAGCGGAGGCCAAAAAATTCATGTTTTCTTTGTTTTTAAAGAAGACTCTTAAAAAAAATAAGACTCTAAAATTTAGGTCTCCCAAGAAAATTTTTTTCTCCCAATTATCCCTTTAAAATGAGGTTTTAAATAAAAAAAAAAGGATTTATAATAGAAGTGATTGGAATTTTAAAAGATCAGTTTTCAAATGAATGATTTGAAATAGTTTCAGAACCAGTCAATTTCACTGAAAGTGTTGAATGTTCAAGGTAAGCTGGCCAGCTAAGATATTTTCTACTCTTCTAACAAGTTAATGAAATAGTAAAGCTTAATAAAATAAATAATTGTGAAGAGAAATTTCATACCTGCTTTATTGAAATACTCTTTTCATCACAGTGAGAGTACCTGTTTTATTAAAGCACAGTTACAATTCATGGCTGCTAATTCATATTTTTATGGACTCCATTGTATCCAGTAGACCTCATCACTGGTTTTTATTATTTCAACATGCATTTACAGGGTTATAATTCCCAAGGGCCAGAGTTACTAATCCAAACTACTTAGTAACCCAGTGGACCTCTGCCAAAAGTAGACCAGGGTCTCCCCTTTGCAAGGAACACTGGCTTGGACCATTAAATTAGACTAAAACTTAATCATTTTCGTTACTTTAAAAATCACCTTTTTTGAACACCGTGTGACTAATTAGCTCCTTGTTTTATGTTCACTGATGATGAGTTGTGATTTTCACTTGCCATATGGGTTAGTTATCACAGAGGTAAGCAAAGAGGTAGGAAAATGTTAGCAGAAGCCTAACTTGGCTACCTTGTAGGTTTCTTCAACAGGAGCAAAAGAGTAAATGATTGGAGCTTTGGTGCATTCAGGGGCAGGGAAACCTGCCTTCAGTCTTTAGGATTCGGAAGTGAGTAATGAAAGGACATTGATATGATGACGAGCTGGGGATTATTGATTATTTTATTTTTAAGACAAGCTCTTGTGTAGCCCATGTTGGCTTTACACTCTCTGATCTTTCTGCTTCCACCATCAAGGCCAAGCTGGAATGGGGAGACTTAAACTCACAAAAAGATCAACGTTGTAAAAGGGTTACTGATTTATTGGTGAAAACAGTGTTGTTTAAAATGGTGTGGTTCTCCAGACTTGCAGCCTCTACCCCAGAAACTTCTGGTGTGAGGCCTAGCAACTTGTTTTTACTATCCTTTTAGGGGTGACCTGTGGAACAATGAACTCCAGGGACCAGAAGGTAATTTGGATTTTCTCAAATGTTTCAGAGTCATCCCTTAAGATGATTTAAGGTGAAGTCTGCAATATTATCTATCTTTCTATCTATTTTTTTTTGAGACAGTCTCTTTACATAGTCCTGACTGTCCTGGAACTCACTATGTAGACCAAACTGACCTAGAATTCAAATAGACCTGCCTGTCTCTGTCTCCCGAGTGCTGGGATTAGAGCTGTACAGTACCATGCCCACTTTACAATATAATTTATGACATAAGTTTCTCCCAGTGGTTCTTAATCTTCCTAATGCTGTAATCGTATAGTACAGTTTCTTATGTGGAAAAATTATTTTGGTTGCTACTTCATAACTATAATTTTGCTACTGTTATGAATGGTAGCATAAATGTCTGTGTTTTCCGAAGGTCTTAGGTGACCCCTTTAAAAGGGTCACTAGACACCACCCTCCAAAGGAGTCACTACCCTCAGGTTGAGAACCTCTGGAAATAGTGTTAGATTTCCTACAGCTGCATGGAAAGGAAAGTGTAGATTGCATCTGGATGGTTTCCCATGTGGAAAGGTATCCACTCCGTCTTTCAAACTTAAGTTGCAACAATACTGAAAGCATTTTTCTACTGTGGTTAGATAACAGACACCAAAATTCTTTGTTTTAAAACATTTTGAGTATACAATTCAATCGCACTGATTTACATTCAAGCAGGAAAATGTTTTCAGTAGAGCTCCCCTTCTTAGTGTGTCCTGGGTCAGCCAGCCTAGGAGGTGGTGGGTCTGCAAATCCCGGGTGCTCAGCAAAGCCGGGGAGCTCAGCGCTGCCCTCTGTTGCTCGTCCAAGAGATGGCCGCATGCAGGGCCGCGCGGGGCCAGCGAGGGGAGCTGCAGGGCAGCTTTTCCAGGGAAAGCGACCGGTCGTCCACACTAGAAGCCACTCTGCCTTTTGTTTGTTTTGCTACCGGAGGCCGCGGAGCGGCGGGTTCCTGCTGGATGCCACGCGCTGCCGGGTGTGGACTTGCCGGGCTCGCCCGCTCGGATCCCACTGCCCTTGTCTGCCGGGCCGCTCCAGTGCACGCGTCCCCGGGCTGCGATCGCCGCCAGTAAGTGGGGCTGGGGCTGTAGGGCTGTACCGCGACCTGTCGCTGGGTGTTGGGCGGTACCGGCTGACCCGAGCGAACTCACAGCCAGGAAGGCTAGGGACTGCGGCTTTGTCAGTGGACCTCATGGTCCTGTGGGTCTCGTTCCTTTGCCGAGAAAACTCCCGACCCCAGGGCTCCTGATGGGTGTGTTTACCTTTCAGTCTGAAGAAGTGGAGCATCCTAGTTGACTTGAAACCTCTTGCGGGTGGAGAGGATCCCGGTGGGGATGCGGTGGGTCGATGCTGGCGACTTGGGCTTACCATTTGCCCAACTAGGCCTTTGGCAGCCCCACAGGGGTCTGAGCAATAATACTCAACACTTAGTCGCAACCATTTTCCCCCAGATTTCCTTCTACTCTGGTTTTTCTTACCACTCCAACCAGACGTTTGGACCAAGATATTGAAAGATTTATTTTTTCCATAACAACCATTTGTTTCTGTGGTGTGAACCTTCTAAAAGTTTGACACTAGCATTTATGACTTGTACAGGAGGTAGAAATTAATGTGTCCTTCTGCAGAGCAGTGTGTTCATTTCCAATTATTACTAAAGAGGAGCTTTTGCTAAGGCTGAAAGACGTGCTTCCCTGGATTTGGCACACCGGACTGGATCTCTGAGCTCTTGACAGTTTCTGTTTTATAATTTTGATCCCAGCACTCTTTGTAGTAAGAGGAGTTTAACAGTTAGTAGTTTTCATCTTACCTATTCCTGGTGTGTAGGGTCTTCAGGGTGTGTCCCAATAATAAATGGTGCCTTGCACCATATAAAATTTAAAAAAGCTTTAAATTAGGGTAGTCAACATGTAAATTATTTGAAAAAATCTGTATCTTGACTATGCATAACTGTTACAGGAGTTAATGTATGCATAAATATGCACATCAGAAATAGTTTATGAACAAAACACTACAATTTTGTAGATTCTTTAAGGCCTTCCTAAGGGACTAGGATCATAGGACACTGGGAAGTTGGAGTAGAACAGAGGGCAGTGCTGGGAGTTTTTGCTTTTTCGATACAGGATTTCTCTGTGTTGCCCTGGCTGTCCAAGAACTCCCTGGCTGACCTCAAACTCACAGAGATCCACCTGCCTCTGCCCCCCTAGTGCTGGGATAACAGCTGTGCACCACCACCACTTGCCTGGCTGTGCTAAGAGTTTTTAATTTCAGATGATATCCTGGGTCAGCCCCTGCCCCTGAGGTACAACCTTACAGTGCCCCCAAACACTTTCTGCTTTTTCCTTTTTTCCTTTCTACTTCGCCCTATCCCCTTCTTCAGAGTCACACTGGTAACGGGGTGGGGGGGGGGGCAGCCTCCATTGTCAATGAGACTAGCCAGTTTCTGATAATGGAGGAGTGTGCTGTAGGGCCCATGGAGCTTGCCTGAACAGGCAGAGCCCTGCCATCCTTGCCAAGCGTGTATACTAGCCACAAAGAAATTGCGTTTCTTACTGAAGTTTCTTCCCTGTATGCCATGATAATTGTCAGCAGGATGAGATTGGCCATCTGGAGTTTTACTTAGTGGCTGTTCAACCCCATCAGAGCCCTTTTCATAGTTTCACTGTTCTATTCCCCCCCCCCATAGCTCTTTAAGGTTCCTAATAAAGCTGAGGATTGTTTGCATTTTCAAGCATTTGAATTATCTTTAACCATCTCCCCTTCATCCTTTGCTCCAGTGAGTCATCCAGACCTTTGGAATGTGTTTCATATAGGTCCTTCCCTCTACATCTAATCTAATCCTTGCCCTCCCCCCCGCCACTTGAGACACTGGAACCACCTTGTAGCTGGCCTCCCATGCCTGTTAGCAATCAGATGTTTGCCCAGGGAGTGAATGAAGGAGAAGCTTCCGTCTCTATTCTCTTTATCATTCTGTTGCCCTTGCCCGTCTAAGTTTTTCCCGTGATCACTTTGTTATATTTCTCCTGGCCGAGCAGCCTTTAGTTATCTCTATCATCTGTTATCTCAATTCTACACTAGTCCATCTGATTTTTCAAGGCCTTTCATTATGGGCCTCATCCTTCATATCTGAATTCTTGGTGCTTAATGTCTTACTGTGCGGGCCAGACTCTGTCACCCAAGTGTCACTATCATATTACTACTCTCCTTAGAACTTCTCTCTAGCCACACTCTCCTATGCAAGTAGTACCCATCCCTGGGGGAGGATATGATTTTGTATGTTTGTAAATATGCTCGTGTGTGTGCAAGTGCATGTATGTGTAGATGTGTATGGCCAGAGGTCAACACTGGCTGTCTTTCTCAGTCACTATCTTATGTCTAGAAACAGACGGTCTCACTGGTTCCATTAGATTACAAGTGGTGCACCTCTGTGCCTGTTTTGGCTTATGTGTGGGTGCTAGGGATTGAACTCAGGCCTTCATGCTTGCACAGCCAATACTTTATCAACTCCCAAGTCCTGTGAGTCCTATTGTTTTTAATTACTCAGTTTCTTTTCTTTTTCTTAAATGTATTCACTAGCTTGACATTATACTGCTCTCTAATTGGTCTACTTATTTTAAGTCTTTTAGACCTAGAGCCTTATTTTATGTATGGCAATGTGTCTGTGGTTTTGTAGTCAGGCAAAATTATGGTTGGGCTTGACTTTGCTCTTTAGTCACATGGCTATGTTGCATTCTTCAAGCATTACTCTTCAAGCCAGTTTTAGTGTGAATTTGGTCCACAGCACCTACTCAGTAGTGGCTGACCAAGTTCTGCTTATGGCTTCACAGTGACTAAGAGTCCTAAACAGGTAGTATACATTTGGTGGATGTGCAGTAGACATTTCATAGATGAGCCTGGAGGAGTGCCAGCCTAACCATGCACTGAAAATGCTGGAGCTTACATTATTCCTGGCTACAGCTCTGCTTCTGGGATCTGTTACTATTTTTCCTTCTGAACCTTGCCAGGAACATTTCTGTCTTAAAAAAAAAAAGAATCATCAACCTCTTCTACTTCGATTTATGGGATCTTATTGAGTTAAAGATATACCTAGCCAATGTATTTATCTGCTTATAGAAGATGTTTGATGATGTATCGTTATCTTTTTATATTTATGTGTTTGTTTTGATTTTTGAGACAGAGGCTGCAGTGGTTTGACTGAGAATGGCCCCCATAGGCTCAGGGTTTGGCACTATTAGGAGGTGTGGCCTTTCTGGAGTAGATGTGTTCTTGTTGGAGGAAGTGTATCCCAGCGGGTGGGCTTTGAGGTTTCAGAAGCTCAAGCCAGGCCAGTGGTACTCTCTCTTCCTGCTGCCTGTCAATCCAGATGTAGAACTCTCAGCTACCTCTCTAGTACCGTGTCTGCCCACATGCCACTTTGCTCCCACCATAATGATAATGAACTAAACCTCTGCACTGAAAGCCAGCACCAATTGTTTCCATTATAGAGTTGTGGTCATGGAGTCTCTTCACAGCAATAGAAACCCTAACTAAGACACAGGCTTGCTCTGCAGTCCAGGGGGCCAGGTGAGCCCTCAGCCTCCCAAGTGTTGGGGTTGAAAGTGTGAGCCGTCACCCCAGCTTTGACTGTGTGTTTATGCAAGGCTACTTACCTGGTGTTTTCTGAACAGAATTCTGGATATGGTAGTTTCACCTCTTTTGCTGTGATGAAGCACATTGACCAAAAGAAACTTAGGAGAGGAGGGTTTATTTCACCTTACAGGTTGCAGTCCTTCCTTGAGCAGAGTCAGGCAGGAACTTGAAGCAGAAGCCATGGAGGAACACTGCTTGCTGACTGGCTCACAGCTGATGCTTCCTAGTTTTCTAATGCAGCCCAGGACCGCCTGCTCAGGATACGGTGCCGCCCACAGTGGGCTGGGCCTCCCATATCAACAATCAAGACCATCCCCACAGACCAATCTAGACAACTCTTCAGGGGGCCCTTCTCAGGT